TCTGGGTGCCTAACCCCGGTCGATGGCAGATAAGGAAAACCCCAACCACAAGGGGTTTTCCAGGGCCATTGCTCCCTGAAACCTCTCTGAAGGGGCCAGGTTCTGGCACTGGTCCCTGGTAGGTCTATACTCCTTAGCTAATGTCCCGGTCTAATATAACATACATTAGCCCGATAAGATCCAGGGAGCCGTAGGGGCTCCCCACAGAAAACCCAGAGGAAGCTGGCGACGCAGCAGCCAACGCACGGCTCCCGGGATCCGAACTTATCGATTGCGAGAGCGGTGGAATGGACGCCCCCGAAGAAACCAGAATATCTGCCTAAGCCAGATCTGACCCGATGGGTAGACTAGCATGGCAAAGTTCAGGCTCCTGCACAGCTGCTCGAACAACTGCCGTATGGACCCGGGTGCCCTCGAAAAACTGCCGCAGACGCAACAGCATCGCAGGAGGAGGAGACAAGGAAGTGGTCCGAGAGTCCCACACAACACCCAGCCAAGTCCGAACCAGAGGGGGAACCAAATGGGACTTCCTCCAGTTCACCAAGAACCTGAACTCGGTGAGCTGGGAAAGAAGTAAATCCCTGGCGAGCAGACACGCTGACTGACTGGGATCCTACACCAGCCAGTCGTCGGGGTAAGCCAGAACCCGAACCCCTAACCCCCTCCCCTCCCTAACTCCCTTAACAACCATTTGCCCCTCCAGAAGGAGGCACGCAGAGTGAACACCATGCTGACCAGGCGCAGTAGGGGCCGCAGGCGGCACCGGCACCAAACCCTACACCTGTGGCCAACCCCGAAGAACAGAACCGCGAGTCCTGGCACGACCCCACCGGGAAGGAACTCCCCGGTTCCCTTGGAGAACCAACAAGTCAGACATAGGGAAGCAAGTGGAAGAAGCCGCCTGAATATAACGCTCAACTGCAGAGGCCTCAAAAAGCAAAGGACAAAAAGGAGAAGACAACCAAAGAACCAGAGCCCAATCGGATTCCAAGGAAGAAGTGAGAACCGCCTCTTGACACGCGAAACACGCAGCGAAAAATAAAAAAACCACAAGCGCGTAAGTTCTCAGTCACAAGCGCAGCAGAAAGGGAAGGAACCTGTACATGAAGCTGAACCGCACCAATATCCAACATAAGGGCAGGAGCGAAAAGGCACTCATTAAGATGCTCAAAATCGCCCCCTAGGTAAGTCTGGACCACCGTCAACACCTCGCGCCATCAAATGTGCGGGTCCGACAGAACAAGTCCCAAGCATCCAACGAAAATAAAGGGCAGTCTGCAAGCCAGGATGAACCCGGAACCTCATAATGCACCCACTAAGGACACAAAGATCCAAACTTGAATGAAGATGGATCCATTATTGAGGCATACTCTGGGTCGCGCAGGAGGTAAGCTGTAATGGCCGATCGCACCTCAGGCGGCGAGATGCGGGACGCTGAAAACCTCCGGAAAGACGGATCCGAAGGATCCGCAGGGACACGGATCTGAACCCGGGGAAGAGATGAACCCAAGTCCCAATCGTTCACAGAGGGGAAAGGGGGGGAAGAAAACCCCACTTCTTGCAACAGAAAACCCCTGCTCAGAAGGTCAGAAAATCCAGGCGGGGTCCAACGGAGCCCAAGATCCCCTAAGTCAGCTCCTCCCCAACCCCGGGAACCTCCAACTTCAGGCCCCAGGGCTGAGTTGTCTTCCAAAGCCCCGGCCTCAAAAATAAGCCAGGGCAGCCATAAGAGAAGGGGGCCCACTGGTCAGACCCCGGAACAACGGCAGGAGAAACAGACTCGAATGCCTCCATAGCCACCTCGGACGGGACAACCCCCGAAACTGCCCGAGTCTCTGAAACCTCTAAACCCTGCCCCGACCCCGAAGCCCTCAGACACTTAGGGGCCGGAAGCAGGCAGGGGAGGGGAGGATCAAATGAAATAACGAATGGAAAAAACGAGGGGGCGCAGACGGAACCAAGGCCGAATCGACCAACACCTCCAAGTCTGAGTCCCTATAGGCAGCCTCGGGGCATCCGGGGAAGCGACAACATGAGCACGTTGCAATATCCTAAACCTATCCTGCAACATGCATGCTGCCTGCTACCAAAGAATATCATCAGATTGGGTGAATTGAGTCACAAACAAGCAACACAGCTCACAGGACTCGGGGTCAAATGTTTCACCGATCCAACAGACAGCATGACGGAGGTAAAAACTATGAGTGTCACCCTGAGACAAGGGGACAGAGCAATCCTCAAACTCGCACAAAGTGAGAGGGTACGTAGGGGTCTCCTCCATATGACCCGAGTGTCTCTGCTGGGTTTTCCAGGGGCCCCTAGACTGGGTCTGCTATGGGTTATCCCAGGCAGGGTATTGCTAACTGGCGCCCCAAACTACCAGGCAAACTGCTAAAAGCTGAACTTGTGGGATGTGTCCACTCACGAGGGCGAAGCAAGGGGTGCCACTGTAATAACCCCATCTATACCACCCTCTTTCTCACTCTCAACACTCCAGGTTAACACTGCTTGCAAATCAATGTCACCCCAGTGAACTACAGCTAAATTAGTAACTCTGAAATATTATTTTAAATGAGGAGGGAACAACAAGAGAAGGGATTATTATTTTAAAACTAATAAATAAAAACCATTAAACACTGCCACCACCTCCCTACTCAGAATCTGAATGTGTCTTTTATTGACTTCCCAGAGAGGGCAGAAGTCAATAATCATGAACTCAAGGGGTATAAGGATCTTGGTAAAGGATGCTTGAAAATTAAATTGTAATCTTTACTGATTGAGGATTCAAGGGCAACTCTAATATCCATAAAATGGAGAACACACGGGAAGTTCTAGTACCGTACATAAAAACCACAAAAAAATGACCCAGCATTAAACAAAAAGGGAACAGATAACTAAACACAATTACATTAGTATTTTTTATTTAAACAAAACACGTATCATGAAAACAAAATTAAAAATATATATATCCTACTCTTAATAAAACATCCTAAGAGGCAACAGAAATTAAATACTGTTATACATGAATACTCAAGTGGCACATTACCTTAATACTGCAAAACCAGCCCAGATGTTGAGTGGCTGCCCTCCAGGTCACCTGACCTGTACCCCAGTTGAAGCCCCAAGACACACTAACTTTAATATTTTCCCTAACTCTTACCAGTGGATAACAAGCTCCACCCACCTAGTTCCTAGGCCCAATTAACCCCACCTTTACAAGCCTATAGACAATGGATTTAAATTCTTGCTCTAAGCCTGAGGGGCCGGCCAATGGGACGTCTGGCACTACCCTGGGAGACTCCTCCCACTAGGTTTCCCTGGTTTTCAACCAGTCAGATCCAGGCTTGACCATAAGGGTCTATTTCTCTTGACAGAAACTCATGTAGCTGGAAAAAGCAGTAACAACTCCTCGTGGGAACAGCTGCTAGCCAGCCATCCAATGAAATTTGAGACCTACGGTTTTATGGCTTCTCAATTCGTCACTGGTAGAAGCAAGGCAGGGGAAGAGGGGAAATGATTGGAAAAGGGATTGGAAATATGCGAGGCATTTTAGGGAATAGGGGATTGGAAGAGGAAGGCACATGGCCCGAGACAGTTGGACAATGTCCCTTGCCAACACTCGATGAGTTTATGACCGAAGGTGGTCAACAAGGAAGGGGAGGGAACAAGGGAAGGGAAGGGAAGGGAAGGGAAGGGAAGGGAAGGGAAGGGAAGTGGAAGGAAGAAGGGGAAGGAAGAAGGGGAAGGAAGAAGGGGAAGGAAGAAGGGGAAGGAAGAAGGGGAAGGAAGAAGGGGAAGGAAGAAGGGGAAGGAAGAAGGGGAAGGAAGAAGGGGAAGGGAGAGGGGGAAGGGAGAGAGGGAAGGGAGAGGGGGGAAGGGAGAGGGGGGAAGGGGAAAAGGGGAAGGGGAAAAGGGGAAAAGGGGAAGGGGGGAAGGGGAACAATGATCTGCACAGATCATTACACCACCACACAACGACCCTAAGATAAGGGGAGGGAGAACACAAGGCAGACCCCCCCCCCAACCAGGCAAAAAGAAAAAGAAAAGAAAAACCTCGCAAGAGGACAATGTACCCGAGGAGAACAGAGCAGGCCGTTGTTAAAGGTGAAAACTTAGCTACGCAGTACCCCACACCCAACCAGTGTAATAACTACCACTTACCCCAAGGCAAACAAGGGCAGAAAAAACCCACACACTCGGGGTGGCCAAACGCCAAGCAGCGAAAGGCCAACAGAGGTAGACCCAAGGTGACATGTGGAAGGGAACCCCAAGCCCCAAGGGGAGTACTTACAGGGCACTCATGAAAGTTGGCACTAAGCACATGCAGCCCGAGTACCTAAGAATTACTCCCAACTCGCACGCTACCGTAAGAGCAGTACTGAAACCAATAACAGCACTGAGAGAAGACTGGAGTTGGAGCCACACGACTATACACGATCCCATCAGCTGAGGAACTAGGGTGTGGATCGCTGGTGTGAGGGTCTGGGGCTTCCCCTTCCTCCTCCCGGGAAGGGGGGAGCTGTGCAGACATGCAGTGCGGCTCGTGTGAGGTCATGTGTGTTTGCTCGTTTTTTTTTTTTTTTTTTGCAGAGTTCTGTTCACTCGTTGGCGATTTTCATTGTTTTAACCAGAATAGGGGTTTGTTTTGTGGTGCTTACCTTTTTGGGTGCCTGTCTCGGTCAATAACAAACATAGAATGCTCCAAATCACATGTGCATTTCTATGGGCCATTGCTCCTCGTGCCTCTGTGAGGGGGCCAGGTTCTGGCTCTTGGTCCCTGGTAGGCTTAGAACTCTACCAACATCAACTGATACAAAATAGCTAGGGCATCCATATCAACCTGGATAGCTCCGAGGAGCCATAGGGGCTTTCCCCCCCCCCCCCCCAAAAAAAAGACATGCAAAGTTCCCTCTGGAAATAAATTGTAATTTATTCAATATGCAACCTTATTATTATTTTTAATGAACTCATAACTACAAATCCAAGTTAAATATACACACCCAATGCACTTGATGGTGTCCTTTGACATTGTGAAGAAGAAGGGCAAAAGCTTGAGAGCCTTTATCTTCAGCTGCAATTCAACTTTCTTTTCAGAGAGAAGTTCTTTGTAGAAGACTACAATGTTATGTCCTGGATCTGAGCAGTGTATCTTGAGCGTACCTTCCCGATCTACCAAAAATAATGCTGATAACGTTCCCAAGACAGCTTCTTGGTGCAGGCTGGTTTTTCTCGATTCAGTAGAAAATGTCGGCCAGTGGAAGAGGAAAGCTTGAACCACTTGTACCGAATGCCTGCATAAAAGTCACAATCAATATATGGCACAAGTGCATTATAATAATGCACTAACAATTTGGTCCTGCTTAGTAAGTGATATTTTCTGATTGCTTATGACACCAAAGTGGAGAAAATGGCTATTATTCCACTCAAACTTTGTTTTGATCTTTGCCTCAAAAAGCTTAGAGATGTCTTGAAAGAACTTGAAGACTGCCAACGCCATATCTTGAGTTGCGACACGTTGCTCCTTAAGTCTGCAGCATTCAGGTACTTTCAAGACATCTTCCCTAAGCTGTCCGAGGCAAAGTACATAGCGAAGTTTGAGTGGAATAATAGCCATTTTCTATTCTTTGGAGGCATAAGCAATCATAAAACATTTACTACCCAGGAACAAAAAACAAATAAAAATTTGTTAGTGAAAATAATAAAGCAATACAGTATTCAAAATCAAAATAATTAATACTAAGAAATGTAATACATCATGCTACATGCTTCTTGAACACCTTCATTCCACCACCTGCCAAAAAAACCAGCATTGAATGTAATGAAACAATTCTTACTGGGTGAGCCTTGGTGGCGCCCTGTTGCTCAAAAACACTGGGATAGCTCTACACACACATCACATCAGCCCTAGGAGTCCTTAATAGCCTACTGGAGACTAGAAACTCAAACCTGAACCCCCCTCATAGAGACGAAAGATATAAGCGATTCTAGATCACAATCATTGAAGAAATGCCTCCAGAAATGAAGTGAAGCAAAACAGACAGTAACAAAGTTCATAGAAACACTGCAGCAAACGATCCACCCAGTATTTACGTCATATCCCCCAAATTACAGCTGGACACCACCAGGTGGCGGCAGCGCCATGGAACCTGCTGGCTCCCTGTGTCAACATTCTCCAGTCCAATGCCTAACAAAAGACCAATCGATGCACCTGGCAGGGCATGAGGGTCCAGAGAGCCAACGAGGCTCCCAAACACTGATTTTCTTGTGGGGGCCAAATTGTGGCTCCCTGTTGCTAACCACAGAAAAAACCAGCATTGAATATAATAAAACGCCATTTTATGGGTAAGACTCAGAGGCAAAGACAGTGAGAGTCACCCAAGAGGTGAGAGAGACAAGGGGACAGAGCAACCCTCGAACTCGCACAAAGCGAAGGGAGGACTCCGGGGTTACATACAACGAACCAACGCGCCCCCTAGGAAAATCCCAGGGTTCTGAGCATTTACGGAATTCACGCCCAGGTAATCCCAGGCAGGGTACTGCTTACCGGCGCCCAAGTCTACCAAACAACCTTCTAAGAACTGAACCCCCGGGACGAGTACACTCATGGGGACCTAGCAGGAGGGAACCACAGGAAGAAGGAAGAGTACTCAGTACAAAGGGGGTAAGAACCAAGGCAGACCCCCCCCCCCCGGCAGATAAACAAAAAGAAAAAGAAAACCCCACAAGAAGACAGCGTACCCAGGTGGAACAGAGCCGGCTGCTATGATCGGTGAAAACAAGCTGCGCAGTACCCTGCGTCCCAGCCAGCGCAAAACTGCCCCCACCCCAAGGCAAACAAGGGAGACGGAAGCACACAAAGGGGGGCCGAAAACCAAGCAGTAAATCGCCGAGCAGAGGCAGAACCTAAGGAACTTGGGGAAGGTAACCCCAAGCCCCAAGGTAACGCGGAGGTTGTGTCCCAAATAGCTCTTGGAAGTTAACCCTAAACTGCAAGGGCAGAACTTACAGGGCACCTAGGGAAGGAAACCCTAGGCGCATGCAACCCGAGTACTGGGGAATCACTCCTGGCTCACGCACCACCTAGAAGAGTCACCACACTCTAGGTGCATTGCTGAAACAACCACTGGAGACGGAGCACACGACTGTTGCCCATAGCATCAGCCTGAGAACTGTAGGGTGCATAGCCAAGCGGGGGTCTGGGGCTTCCCCTTCCCCCTCCCAGGAAGGGGGGGGGGCCACTGCGCAGACAGCGGTGCGGCGACGTGTGATGTCATGCTCGTTTTTTTTTGGGGGGAGGGGGGGGGAGGGGGGAGTTCTATCCATTTGTTTGGCTTTTGCTATCAATTTTCACCAGAATAGGGGTTTGTTTTGGGATGTTTACCTTTCTGGGTGCCTGACCCAGTCGATGGCAGACATAGAATGCTTCCAACCACACGGGGGTTTCTATAGGCCATTGTTCCCCATGCCTCTCTGAGGGGGAACAATGGCTCTGGCTTGTGATCCCCAGTAGGCCCACAAAACTCCATACACATGACTGATACCAAAGTCTGACATTAGCATATCAGCCTGGATAAGCTCCAAGAAACAAATCCACAAGGGCCGTTCATTTGATGCATCACGCAGTTGTGATTTGTGTGTGTAAGCTCCGAGGAGCCGACGGGGCTTACCCCAGAGAAGTGGAGTCTCCAGGAAAAAAGTCTCCTAGAAAAGCAAAGATCAAACCCCCAAAGTAGAAACCAGAATGGGAAGCCCTACCTTAGACAACAAGCTTGATGAAGACTAGGACACTCGACTAGGTTATGCCCTGCCAGGACCTGTTACTGTTTTACTGCCGTTACCAAGTAGTAAATAGATACCTGGGAGTTAGACAGCTGCTACAGGCTGCTTCCTGGGGGGATGTGTAACAAAAAGAAGACCTGGTTGAGGGCTGGGCCACAGGGACGCTAAGCTCATAATTCATCTCAAGATAACCTAAAGATAAGACCCTGGGAGACCTCCAAAGGTCTCAAATCCAAAAATGAGGCCTAGACAAATGAAAAAACATGGTGGCCAAATCCTCAAAGTTCCAAACACAATGTGACTGAACAAGACAAAGACCTCCTGAGAACAAGACAAAGAACAGCCTAAATACAGAAAATGGAAGCCAAGTGAACATGGGACACATGAACCACTGCAGCCAAGGCTCCAGCAGCAACAAACAACTGAACAATGAGCTGCTCATGCCCACAACTTGGACAGGACCAGAACAAACAGCAAAGTGGTGCAAATGCACCCAAGTCAGGGCCCAAGCCCTCACGAGGAACTGAAAAAGAACCGACCAGTCCGAGCCAAGTGGAAAGCAGGGATGATGGAAATTTTAAATATGCATCCAAGGACCCCAAACAGGTTACAGAAATATGCCCAGGCACAAGCAGCTGAGAAACCAAACTCATACATTAATAAAGGATAGTGGAAAATTACAAACTTGAGCTTAAGAAACACCCTCCTTAGAGGGAACCAAGACCAGGACAGGTTGAAGGGCACCATGGACCCAATTCAGCATCAGAAGCCTCAGATGAAGACCCAGGGAAAGAGCAGAGTTCTATGCCTGATACTTCAACAGTCAGGACACCATCTCTGCACACTAAGAGGATCTGAGCCAAATACACCCCTCAGAGAAATGGAAGGCTACAGACCTCCAGGAGTCGAACTCACATCAAACTCGTACAGGAAGGGGAGATAGGAAAACCCCTCCCCCTGTAACAACAAGTTCTTCACCTAGGGTACCAACACCCAAGTGGGGTCAAACGAGGCCCAAGCCCCCCAAGTCAACTCCTCTCCAGCTCCGGGATTCTCCCCCGTCAGGAACCGGGGCCAAGCCATCCTCCAAACCCTCTGTCTCTCGAGAAAAGGCAAGGTCCACCGGAAAAGTAGGGATGAAGGGGGCCCGCTGGCGCGACCCAAAAGCCCAAGCAGGAGGAATAGGCTCAAATGCCTCCACCGCTGAACCGGAAAGGGCAATCCCCGAAGCCGCCCGAGTCTTACCACCGAGAAAACCATGCCCCAATTCCGAAACCCTCAGACGTTTGGGAGCTGGGAGCCAGAAGCAGGGGGAGGGGGGGGGGGGAAGAGTAGGAAAAACCACAGTAAGGAAGTGGGTGCAGATGAAACCAAAGTCAAGGCGACTAACACCCCCCTCCCCCAAGGTCTGGGTTCCTATAACCAAAGCGGGGCAGCTGCATAACATCCGGTAAGGCAACCAACATAGCTCGTTGCAGTAACCTAAACCGTGTATGCAACCCAACGTTGAAGCAGCCTACACCCAAAAATCAACATCAGTGGACTGGGTGAACTGGAGTACAAGCAAGGAACACAACTCGCAGGACTCCAGGTCAAAGTGTCATTGACCCAACAGGCAGCATGGTGGAGGCAAAGACAGTGTCACCCTGAGACAAAAGGACAGAGCAGCCTTCAAACTGGCAGGAAGCAAGGTGGGACTCGGAGGTCTCTTCCATCGGACCAATGAGCCCCAATGCGGGTTCACAGGGCCCTTAGGCTGAGTGCTAAGGGAAGCCCAGGCAAGGTACTGCTAACTGGTTATCCTAGAGCTACCAAACAAACAAACCAAAAGCTGAACCCCTGCGAAGTGTGCAAGCACGGGGACATAGCGGAGGGCCACCAAAGTGGTCCTACAGCCACACCAGGCGGACCCCTACCTGGCAAAACAAAACTAAACAAAACAAAAAACCCTGCAAAACTGCAAAAGCACAATGTCTCCATGAGAACAGAACCAGTCGCTATATGTACAGTATATCAGAAAGCAGCACAGTACCTCGCACCCAGTGACGATACTACCTCCTACCCAAAGCCAAAGAAGAGGAAAGAACCACCCCAGCAGAACCCCAAGGGTGGACAATCACCAAGTAGCAACAAAATCATGCGGAGGTAGTGTCCCGAATAGCTCATGGAAGTTAACCCTAAGCTGCAAGAGCAGTAAATACAGGGCACCTAGGGAAGGTGGCCCTAGGTGAATGCAGCCCCAGTACTCTTGTTACTTCTGGCTTGCACACCACCAACACAGACCACCACCACTGCCATGCAGCACTGCACAGAAGGATGAAGTCAGAATTGATCGACCATCACTAACACAACAGCCTCTTGAACTAGGGTTGGCTAACTGGTGCAGGAAGTCTGGGATCCTCACTTTCCCCTCCCGGGAAGTGGGGAGTTGCGCAGACAGCGGTTCGCCAGCTGTGGTGACATCATTCTTGTTTGCTTTTTTTCGATTGGGGCAATTAGCCATTTGCTAATT